CGGATTGTATAGTCGGAGTAACCATTAGCCCTAAGAGCTTTGTGTACGTGCTTGAGTTCACTGCTTATGTGTTCCTGGTCGGATATGCATTGGGCTCTATGATACAGAGTCTTGATGAGAGAATTCTTCTGTGATGGATGGTGGTGGGAATCCGGTTTCAGATAAGCATCCGTATGGGTAGCTTTCCTGTAGACAGAGTGGCTCATTGAACCATCAGGTCTCTTTTTAATTAGGACATCCAAAAAAGGTATCTTGCCATCTATTTCGACTTCCATGGTAAATCTGATGACTGGGTGTATGGAATTGATGTGGTCGAAGAATTGGTCTAGAGCAGGCCGGCCATGTGGCCAGATGACAAAAGTGTCATCCACGTACCTCTTCCATAAGGTTGGGCGCAGAGTGGCAGTCTGGATGGCGTCAGTCTCAAATTTCTCCATGAAAATGTTAGCTATAACTGGAGAAAGGGGGGAGCCCATTGGGGTGCCCTCAGTTTGTTTGTAGAAAGTTCCATTCCAAGTGAAGTATGTATTGGTTAAACAGTGTCTCACCAGGGGGGGTACCTCAGTGTTTAGTCCTTGATGAACCAAGTCTTCAATGATTGCAATGGTGTCAGGTACAGGAACCTTGGTGAATAAGGAAACTACATCAAAACTGACAAGCAGGTCGTCTGGGGACAGGGAAATACCCTTGATTGTCGATACCAGGTGAGTAGAATTTTGTACCGCAGAGGTGGTCTTTCCAGTGAAAGGACGCAGGATTTCAGACAAAAAACGAGCTAGTTTGTAGGTGGGGGAGCTGATAGTAGAGACTATGGGACGAAGAGGTGTATCAACTTCATGTATTTTTGGTAAGCCGTATAATCTTGGTGGCCTGGCAGCAGAAGGTTTCAACGAAAACTGTTTAGATTGATCAATTAATGCGGTTGAATCAGAAATTATTTTGTTGGTTTGTGTGACGAGGCTGTTGGTGGGATCTCTTTTTATTTTTGTATAACTACCATCGTCGAGTAATTCTTTAATTTTGTTGTTGTATTCTATTTTATCTATCACTAAAACCATGAAGAAGAACCCTCTTGAGGAGCCTTTCAAAACCATCACTTTACCCTACATTGCTGGGATCACAAAAAAGATCTCCAAAATCTTGAATAAACACAAGATCCAGGTCCGTTTCAACACATTACATAAAATCCGTGATCTGGTTCCGTATGTAAAAGATGTGATTCCGGACATACAATACCCTGGTGTCTACAAACTAAGTTGCCTCTGTGGTAGTAGTTACATTGGAGAAACCAAACGCCATGTCTCGGACCGCATTCGTGAACACAAAGCAGACCTTAAACACGGTAGGACCAACACCTCGGCCGTAGCAAATCATTGTTCTAATTCAGTAGGCTCACATGCCATTGACTTTTCCAAGACAGAGGTTCTTTGTAAGCCATCTGGCTTCCATGAGAGATTCGTTCATGAGGCTATCCACATATACAAGTACAGAGACAATTTCAACCGAGAAGATGGATTCTATCTTAGCAATCATTGGAAAGATTTGATAAACCATTTCAGTTCTTAATTGATTGTTCACGCTTACAGTGGCTTTCAGACAGCATACATTATAACAAAAATTCGTCTCCCCCCTCCTCTTTTCAAAATATAGATGGACTAGTCCTGGGTAAACTGCCAAATCGCTGCGCGTGACGCTAACGTTTTTTTTATAAATAAATAAATGCGCCGTTTAAAAATAAATTTATGCAAACCAACACACCTGAAGATGACCGTTTGAGTTATGGTCGAAACGTCGTGATAATTTTTTTATTGTTTTATATATATTTTATTATTTTGTTGTTTCTCTTCAACGTGCCTTTACCGAAAAAACTAAGAATATGAATTACTGCAGTCACGAAAGCTTTAAATCAAAATTTAACAGGAGCATCAGTTGGAGTATCACATTTTTCAATGCACCTTTAAGATCAGCACACAAAATCAAAATACAGATAATACTTTGCAGCGGTCATCCGGAGCGAAACATTTTATTTTATTTTAGGCCACTGAATAGCAGTGGTAACTAGGGGTGTACAACTCCTCCAGAGCAGTTTTGAGTGAAGATCTCATAGGTAGTGATTCAAGTTGCAGTTTATTGGCAATAGCATTCCAGATCCTGGGGGCATCAATAGCAAAGGCCCTTCCTCCGGTTTTTGTACGGCAATAGGGAATGTGAAGCTGGTAGATGAGCGAAGACCTGCGGTCTAATTTGTTCTTTGAAACAGAGACCCAGAGTCTGCGGATTTCTTTGTAAGTACATCGTGAATAAATAAGATCTGGTGTACAAGCCGTCGAACATTAAGAGATGTTAAGTTTGACCCAATGTAGAGATCACAGTGGTGAATCTTATATGGGCAGTTCAATGCAAATCTTAGGGCCGAGTGATAGATGGAATCAAGCTTCTTCAGTACAGTACTTGGGGCTGATGTATACACGATATCACAGTAATCAAGTAGAGGCAGTATGGTAGCTTTTAGCAATTCCAATTTTATTTTTGTCTTTTTACCAATATAATCAATGTGATCTTCAAAATGCAGTTTTGAATCCAGGATGACCCCAAGATACTTATAAAACTTGATTTGCTCTATTTGATCATTATTTAAGGAATGTACTTTGGGAAAAATAACTTCCTGCTTTAGTCCCGGTGAGAAGCATAGCACCTTGGTTTTGGAGGTATTCAGGACTAGTTTAAGAGCAACTAGCTGATGTTGTAGTTTGTTGAAATCACCCTGGAACTTAGCAATCACGTCATCCAGAGAGCGGCCAGCAGTAATCAGTATCGTGTCATCTGCAAAAAGATTTACTCTCGAATGATCCAGGTCAGTGCCCAAGTCATTGACATAAAGAGAGAACAAAAGGGGGCCGAGGATGGAACCCTGTGGAACCCCTTTTGTTATCTTAACACTGTTTGCCCTCCAACCATCTGTGAATACAGTTTGGGTGCGTGAAAATAAGTAATTTTTTAACCATTTTACTGTGTTTTTGGAAAAACCGAGGCAACTTAGTTTACCAAACAGGGCGTTGTGGTCTACTATATCAAAAGCTTTGGACAGGTCAAGAAAAAGACAGGCACAGTACTGCTTATTATCAAGGCTACTGTAAATTTGATTCAGAGAGTCTAATGCAGCAGATGTGGTGCTGTATTTTTTTCGGAACCCAAGATTGTTTTAGATGTAGTAGATTGTTGGTGGACAGGAAACTGCTAATTTGGTAGTTCAATAATTTTTCCAAAAATTTCATCAATGGGGACAAAATTGAGATAGGTCGGTAGTTATTGGGATCATCTTTAGGGCCCCCTTTGTGAAGTGGACGGACATAGGAATGTTTCCATTCTAGAGGAACTGATCCTTCTGTGATGGACAGGTTGAAAATATGGGCTATAGGTTTGTATATTAGGTAACCAACAGTTAGTAGAGCAAAGACGGGAAAACTATCTGCTCTGGTAGAATACCCTTTGAGGTAGGACAGCTGTTTCAGAACATTACTTTCGTGGATTGGCTGGAAACTAAATTCGTTTAATGTTTGGACAGGGGTGTAGGAAATTGCATGAGCAGGGGTGACTCCCAATACAGTATCAAAAAGGTCACCAGCTTCAGAGAAATTAAGGTTAAAATTGCCGACTATTTTTTGGGGTTCTGAAAAAGTCCCCATTTCGGTTAAGCGCAATGGGCAGATTATCTGTGTTGGATGCCTTTTCAATACATGTTATTGTTTTCCAGAAGATCCTGGCATTTCCATGTGATTCCAGGAGAGTGGAGGTAACATAAGCATTTTTTGCATACCGTATTTCTTTTATGCATCGATTCCTTAAAATCCTGTACTCTAGCCAGTCATTTACCAAATTACTTTTCTGAGCACATGCCCAAGCCGTACCATGGTGGTCAGTTGGTGGTCAGTTGCCTTTAATTTTAAATCTAACCAACAGAGCATGTTTGTTAAGAATTTGGAGAAACGTGTACCTGAAAGTCTCCCAAGCCGTAGTCAGGTTGGGGATATCACAGACCTTGTCAATATCCGAGTGAAGCACATCATTAGTAAATGCCTGAGTGCTGAAGTGCCTCAAAGAGTGCTTCTCAACAATTTTAGGGGGGGCTTTGGGTCTGGCTGATGATCTCACCCCAAATATGAAGAAGTGATCTTGAGGAGCCTTTCAAAACCATCACTTTACCCTACATTGCGGCGATCACAAAAAAGATCTAAAAAATCTTGAATAAACACAAGATCCAGGTCCGATTCAACACATTACATAAAATCCGTGATCTGGTTCCATCTGTAAAAGATGTGATTCCGGACATACAGTACCCTGGCGTCTACAAACTAAGTTGCCTCTGTGGTAGTAGTTACATTGGGGAAACCAAACGACATGTCTCGGACTGCATTCGTGAACACAAAGCAGACCTGAAACACGGTAGGACCAACACCTCAGCCGTGGCAGATCAATGTTATAATTCAGTAGGTTCACATGACGTTGACTTCTCCAAGACAGAGGTTCTTTGCAAGCCATCTGGCTACCATGAGAGAATCGTTCATGAGGCTATCCACATATACAAACACAGACAATTTCAACCGAGAAGATGGATTCTGGCTTAGCAATCATTGGAAGGATTTGATAAACCATTTCGGGTCTTAATTGATTGATCACGCTTAAGGTGGATTTCAGACCGCATCCATTATTTTTCGTCTCCCCCCTCCTCTTTTCCGAACATAGATGGACTCGTCCATCTGAACAAACTGTCAAATCTCTCTCCGTGGTGCTCACGTAAAAAATAACCACTTCTTTTTTCAAATTTTCTTGTTGTGGTTTTCACACCTGATGATTGCTTGTGTTGCAGTCGAAACGTCGAGAATTTTATTGTTTAATATTTTTATTATTTTGTTTCCTTTCTAGGTGACTTTACCGAAAGGACCAAGAATATGTATATTTTCGTTCAATTAAATTGCATATTTAGCATAGATTTGGTTTGGTTTTTTTTAGAACATAATCGCACGGGTGTGTAAGGGATCTTACTTTTTAATGTACAATTTAAACAGGACTGCCTCAAAAGTACATCGCACATTAGCTTTGTGTTCGGCATCGCTTTATTCCACGCAAAATTACGAGAGTTTTAATCTTTGAAAACAATTTAATTAGGCGATTTAGATTAAAAAATTTAATCGTTTATGTTTACTGCCATTGTGACAACCCTGCAATATTTTACGGGCATTTCAGCTACAAGAAAGCAGACTATACACCGTCTTCACAAATCCGTCCCTCTGCATGCAAAATAAAAGTACGTTTTTATGCATACGCATTATGCCCTCCCAGCAGGCCGCGTCGCTAATGGGATGTGTAAAATGTTGCTTTCCAAGGCAGTGGCACATTTGACGTTGTCGTGCAGCGAGGGCAGGGTGTGTCTCATGTCGTCGTGGCACACGCTGCAGTGTCGTGGTGTGCGCCGCTACATCGTGGCGCACGCTGCCACATCGTGGAGCATGCTGCCATGCCATGTCGGTGACCGCCTCGTCGTGGTGCACGCCGCTACATCGTGGTGCACGCCGCTACATCGTGGTGCACGCTGTCACGCCATGGCGGACACCGCCTCATCGTGGCGCGTGCTGCTACGTCGCCGCGCTCTTGTGTTCGTCTTCGTACGCGATGGCGACACCCCGGCGCCCCTGCTGTACACGCGACACGCGCGTCTGACCAAGACGCGGGTCCAGGCCCTGCCAGTCACGGGCAGCCAGGTAACCAGCTGCGCACCGCACACACGGTCAGTCAATGCACTTACACGCACCTTCCTTACTGAAGAAATAATCAGACGCAGCAGCAGTAGTGGTGAGTGGGGACAAGAGGTAGGGTAGCTATTACGACGAACAAAATCCCTCCTGGAGCAGCAAGATAAAAGATTTCCCATATCTGCATTTTGCATTTGTGCAGAATCGTACCTGCCGATTGGCTGGACACCACTTGCAGATTGTGACCTCGGACGAGCAGGGCATCGGTGGGTTCCACGTCCATGGGGTTCTCTACCCCCCGCGATTGACACCTTATTGCCCCAGTGAGTAGAGACACGTCTCCCTCCGTTCCCTCCGCCTCCTCTTGCGATTCTGGCAGTGGCACGTGATGTGGGTAACCTGCAAGCAGAAGTTATTTGTCGTAAGATGTCTGTGACGTTCAGACCCACATACTGTTTTTATTTAGGCGTTGCTCTGTAAAGAGATTAAATGACTGTATTAATTATAATTTATATTACTTTGCATAGTCAACAAAGGATAGGCATAATCGTAGCTTGATTGTTTTCTGATATGTATAATAGTTTTTCGTCAAATTAGGACCTATGTCTAACAAGAGAGGTTCCTTGCATATCAACATCTGGCAGTTCACCAGCATTGCTTGAGAGACACTAAATTTCAGAACTGGTCAAGAGGTTGCTTGTATCAAACCAATATCTCCTGAAATTATGCACTTCTTGAAAGCCATGTGGCCAATGGGATGGGCAAAAAAACCCTTGCATTGTTACGTGGAGATATGGCAAGAAAGCTTTGCATGCTTATTTATTTTGTAATTCAGTTGATGTAGTTGTCCAAGCTGTCAAAAATAACCCGGCCAAAATCACAAATATTTAGAAATATATTCCAATTACAAGACTGGAACAAAAGTGAATGTCTGACTCAACATCTGGCAAAACACAAAACGGCTACACCACATCTAAAACGCATCACGTGTCTTCACAACAACCGGCCTACGAGTCTAAAATGGCATCAAACCTGGGAGCAGCTCCCTGAAGTCTGAGACGAAGCTTCCAGTCCACGGGCGCTGCCGGTTGCAGGCCACCTCCATTTCAAAGGGTGTCACTATCGGCTGGTAAAACTCCGCGCAGTCCAGCAACGAGTTCTCGGGGCACGCGACCAGAACGAATACGTCTATCTCTGGAAAGTTGGCGAGCTTGGCGGGGTTGGGCTTGCCCACGACGAACACCTGCCACCGCTTGCCAGCGCGTGCCAACGCACGCTTAAGCTGCTCGATGATTTCCAGAAATCCAGCGACGCCCAGGGTGCCCACCAAAATCCCGACGGAGCCGGCATCTCTCGCCCGCTCCACCAGGTAGTACCTCCGCTTCACCAGGCGGCTTGTGCTGGCCGAAGCCCTCTGGCTTTCTCCGCTCTCTGGGTCGTACGTAAAAAACTCACAATTGTTCCAGCTCATCATGAAATTAGTCAGGGTGATGCTCTCCCTGCCAATGTAGAAAACGCTGTAATCCTCCAGCCGAGAGCCGGCTTCCACCAGCAGCAGGCGGCCAAATGCACGCTCGGTGCCGTCCGTGCGACACGGGTCCTCAGCCGGGGGCACGTCTTCCGGGGTTTGATCCGCAGGTTGAGGCTCGACTCGAGCGAACCGCACATGAGGGTACTCTGGACCAAGGATGTTTTCCAGATCATCTGCGTGAACACACGTTTACTATTAATATGGCACACGGATCATTTTGTAAACATGGTCAGTTTTGGAGTTTAAACAGCAATTGCATTGATACTCAATATTTCAGGCTGTCATGGTTTAACGGTTGGCACACTAGACTTAGAATCGAGAGATTGCTGGTTCTATTCCTTATCCAGTATGCAATTTAAACAATGCAGGAAGTTTATTAAACCCTCCGACATCTGTGCACCCAGCAGTATAATTCAGCTCTACAGTTGGTGCCGTGGGGGAAAGTGTGGGTATGCCTACCTCTTCCAACACGTTCTGGTCAGCGTGGAAGAGTAGGCCAAATACTCTGCAGCGTTCACTCAAGTGGATATCCTTCTGCCAGCATTGGTGTTATCATGCAATTTCAGGGCTGCGTCTTTACCTATTTTATCCACTGTTTATGAAAACATATACGTCAACAATAGGACAGATGAGAACGTAAAAGACAGCGCTACAATTGCATAAAAATACCACTCCTTAGCAGAATTAAATTAAGACATTTGGGCGTCGACATCATCCGAGCGGTACGCATTCCCCACTAGTTGTAGTGGATTGTGGTTCAAATCCAGAACCACCCTGGATAATACTACGAGTGCATTGACAATAAAATACCAGGCGCCATCTGTTTCGCTTGCAAAGATGTTCCACGGGTTTCTGTGCATGCTTCCATTCTATTCTCAACTATATAAATTATATAGTATCACTCTATCTCTTTCTACACTTCTACTTCATTCTCAATACCCCAGGATTTTCACTAGATAATGCACAACCACAATAACAAGAGGACTTTATACAACCATTCAAAACAACTGGATAGCTTTGAATCCCCAACTGAACGCTAACACAAGACACAATGTGTGACCGTTATGAGCCCCAACTCTGACAGCCGGAGACATCGCGCTTTCTCCATCACCACTCTCCGCAGCACAACAACTGAAAATGTTTCCTCGTACAAATATCTTGAGGTTTGGCTCGATTCCGATCTGAACTTTAAACCTCACGATGTAAATTTTGAATAATATTAATAATAAAAAGGGGACTTTGTACATAAACAAATCCTGTTCCTCATCTTCTACATAGAAACATTTGGGAGCTGCTGCCTCCATGCCTCTCATAGACTATGCCGACATCAGATACAAATCAACCTCTGCAAACGACTTTGCATTTATGAGACTTTTATCTTTTATTTTACCTTACTCTTTATGTTACAAAATCCACCCACACGCGACCTGCCGATACACCAATGTATACAGCATCAGAGTTTTTATTTATACTGGAGGAATTCGCACCTCCAATTAGCGCAGTTGGCTACATACGGTGTGAAAAAAGTTCAACATATGTACAATCCGATGAGCTATAAAGATCTTTTTCACAGATGTCCAGTTGAGGGGGGGGAACAAACTACTTAACTCATCACCGTGATCTAGTTGTACAATATTCCTGAAGGACTCTCTTCTCGTTCTTTGCAGAGGGCCTTTGTTGTGTTGCTGCTGTTTTCACGCACCACGTATCTCCCTTGTAAAATAGCCGGGCAACTGGCTCAATGGAATCATCCACGCATCGAATTAAATAACCTTTACTCCAATATCACCTCTTTCAACTTAAAGTGAGATTCATTGGGCCAAGGTCATCGTTAACGCACACACACTCAATCCTTACCGATGCAGTGTTAATTCAGGACCTAAACCCTCAACATCTTAAAGTGCCCCACAACACTAAAGTGCATTGTACCAAGGACACAGAACTCACGTGGTTCTCATTCTCTGAATGCCCCCAACATCTGGAAACCCATCATCTCAACTCTATCCTGTTACTCTCGCACCATCTGAATCACAAATTGATGCTGAACTGTCGATTCCTTATAACTTTACCTGCAATTACATCTGATTTCTTGTATCCTGGTCTATTTACATATCACTATTGTACTAAAGTCACCCTATATCTGTTGAATTCCTAATGTTGCATTGCAATATACTTTCCATTTCTCATGTGATGCTCGTTTTTTTTGTTCTTGTTTATATTTGCTTCAATGCTTTATTTTATTTCACTTTTGTCATTTTGGTAACTCAAGTCACTCTTGCAACTGAGACTATCCTTGGTCTCTTGAGTTCTCATCTGGTTCAGCAAAAACAAACTTTAGAGATCCCGTGTTATGTGGCATCATGTTCAAAATGTCAAATTTGAAAACAAAATTATGCTGCAAATTACTTGCTTGAGATACACGTAGCAATTCATCACCCCCTACTGCAAACCTTGGCAGGACCCTCTTGAAAAAAAGTGTTGAGGCTCAGTGAGGCTTATGATTGTAGGCGTCCCTTAATAATACTAGCCGGGCGGCTCGATGGTACAGCAAGTGACTCACAATCAGAAGGTTGCCAGTTTAAATTCTGGTTGGGAGTGATCCAGCATATCAGAAAATGTATTTAGACAGGAATCCGATAAGTTATGAAGCTCTTTCTCACAGATGTCCAGAAAACCATCCCTCCAGAGTTGATCAAATGAGTGCCACTTACGTGGGAAAGTCAACGACGGTTGTCCTATGGACAAACTTGTCCCCTGCCAGATGAATACGGATTTCCATCACCAGTGCAGGGCTGTTAATTGGAGGCTCGCACTCAATGCTCATTTCGAGCATAAAATCCCTTTGACTTTTGACCTGAGAGGGCCAGGCCGCGAGCACCGACGACAGGACGCCAGAGGCGAGGCCTACCCAGGGCGTGCTCGTACTGCACGTCGGCCAGCACCACCACCCGCTGCACCGTGGACGGGAAGACGCCGCGGAACGCCGCGAGGCACCGCGACGCGTCGCACTCCCGGCGGCCAAAGACGCGCAGCACGGGGAGGAGGCGCGCGGGGCTGAGGCAGGCGTGGCCATAGTGGATGAGGCCCTCTGCCCCGGCGTGCTGGGCCGCCACCTCGTCCACACAGCAGCTGCCGGGGGAGACGACGCTCGGCATGAGGCAGGGGAACCACAGAACCGCTCCACCAACTGCGCTCGTGTGACGCGTTCGCACTGTACGGCGTTAGCCACGGCGCTGTCAGGAACGGTGAATGAGGCCGAGAGTAAGTAGTGTCATAGGTATAGTTCAAATTAGTAATCAAAGGGGGGGAAATAATAACATAATTTGCGTATCAGTATTATATAGTTTGCAGAGTGTGTGGTGTCATGTAGTGTGTGTGTATGGATGCCGATGATCTGGTAATTGGTGTTGTCTCTCTGAGGAGTAAAAGTAACTGCTTGAGTTGTGATAGGTGGCACAGTGTGCTTATGACAAGTTCCAGTTTGGCGGCAAAGATCTTACTGCGAATCAGGCGAGGAGCATAGTCTATTTATGTGACTGCCTATTGCTGTCAATCCACACGAAGCCACAGTCGGGCCCTCTCTGCTCTTTGCTTGCGAAATGTGGACCCCTCTAATGGAACATGGACGCTGGTTTGAAACTTTCAGGCTGGCCTCTAGAGCTACGATCCATTCTGGGTTGTTAGCTCACAAATCCTTGCAAGATCTGTACACATTCCCATCAGTGAGGTCGTCCGGCAGGCAAGGTTGCGTTGGGTGGATCATGTAGCCCGCATACCCAGCAACCGGGTGCCCAAGCATGGACAGGAGAGGAGATGGACTCATGCGGTATGGGAGGATGTGAAGCTGAGTGGACTTGCCGATGATTGGTACCAGCAGTGTCAAGATCGGCCTCTATGGAGGAGGCTAGTGGAGGCCGCTACTGGGCACTTAGAGGCAGTCGTCCTCCAACAACAGTGGAGGGTAGAGAAGCGTCGCCTGGAGGGTAGAGAAGCGTCGCCTGGAGGTCCCCACGCCGAAGCGCGCGGGGCCCCCCAAAGCGCGGGGCCCGGGGCCCCGATTCGTCGTTACCCGAGGGACGACTCTGTGTACAGTGCAACTATTTAGTGTGCGCAGTGCGTGTACAGTGCAGCTGAGTGACGGCACCTGCCGTAGGTGGAGTCGCCGAGGACGAAGCAGAGCGCGCCGCTCTCCTCCTCCAGCGCCCACATCACCCGCGCCGCGTCCCCCCAGCATCGCGTCCGGGAACTGCAGCGCCACCTGCATCGTCACCACGTTACCCACCTCATCACACCTCGTCAGCCTCACCACGTTACCCACCACACCACGTTACCCACCACACCTCGTCACCAACTCACGCTCCCTCACCACGCCATAATACACATCTCACCACTCACCCGCCACGTGGTCATCCCCACACATCACCCTCGCTTCGTCACCCCACCTCCCCTCACCTCGTCACCTCTCATTCAGTAACCCGCACCGCACTAACTCCACTTCACGGCACCTCATCACCCTCGCCGCATCATCCACAACATCACCACGTTACCCACCACCACCACCACCCCCGCGGGTCGTACCGTGCGCAGGCTGTGGAGTCGGACGAAGGCCGCGCTCCGCTCCATCTCGAACACGCGGCGCAGCTCCTCCGGGGCCGTCGGAGGCGCCAGAGCCGCCGCCGCCTGCCCCCCCTTACCGCCTAGGAGCAGCGCCTCGCTCGTGTCGCTGCTGAAGGCCGACATGGTCCCCTGGACTACCAAGGTCCCCGAAGTGTCCCCAGGTCCCCTTCGGGTCTCGCAGACACAAACACGAGACCCCTCGCTCTGCCCCGGGGCAGCGCGGCTCTTCGGGCTGCTGCTCCTGCTGCCACCTGGTGTCCACAGAGGGCATCAAAAAACCTGGCTCCTGCTTGCTTGAGCAGGAGCCAGGCTCCATCATCAACATCATTAGCCATGGAGCATCACAGCCACCCCCCCGCCCACTGCACACTTGAGCAGCTGTTTCCTACTCAAATCAGCACGAGGCTGTGGTCATGTTTATAGCCGAGCCAATGGTGGAAATTCCCATTGTATTGGAAAGTTGACCCAGAGGACAACCCCTGTTTATGTCAACTCTCCTGCATCTCTTATATTCATGGTTCTGAACTTGTTTCATTTGAACAAAAACATTATTTTACCAGGCAAGGCCCACTGAGCTATGTAGCTTTTTCAGAAGCGACCTGGCCACAAATGATAGCTCAACGAAGTGGCTTATCCGGGTCTTCACGATGCCCTCAGTCTAAATGTCTGTGGTGAGGTTTATTTTTGGTAGAGCCGGCGACTCAATCCCAGGTCTCCTGAGTTCTCGCCTGGCTAAACGCACTTTCCTACCATTGAAAAAAAAACACGATTCCTCCATTTTTTATCGTTTTCACGAATCGTGATAATCGAATCGCAGGTGGGGGGGGGGGCTTAAGAGCATACGTCGCTCTCATTGGCTGAGCGAATGACAGAGGCGAGTAGGTTTCCTTCGCCGGTGCTGCTGTGCGTTGTCACTTGCAAGCAGTTTAGATATCGTCAAAAAAAATTGTCCAGGGCAGAGCGCAATAACAAATCAGCATTCTACGGGGTCACGCTAAGCAAGGTCTGCCTGTAACGGACACAGCATCCGTGCACACAACTGATTTCATCGCTCCATTTTCTCAGCAAATGTCCTCATTCCTTCAACTGCCACTTCCATTATCTTGGCCATCGTCCCATCAATCCCTTCTTGCCACGTGCCCTTCACGTTATGCCATTCCAATAATAACAGTAGTAGGCCATTATGCGTCGGCATCTTGGCATAAATTCGAATTGAGCAACACATTGCAATATCGCCCTACGCTGCGAAAAGCTGGCAAGACGCTTCTGGAAACGTTTAGAGACTCACCGAGGTTTTCAAGGGAAAAAAGTGGAGTAAAATACGACCCTCAAGACAGCCAGGGCGAGATATGAAATGTTCCGGCAACACAGGTTTATATTTATACAGCAGAGACATGGAGACTAGTGGCTGGCTCTTCACATTTTATCAAACTGTTAAAACAAATAGTTAAAGGGCTCAGTTAACGTTTTTTTATTAAATATTTAGTATTACCATTTGCTTGCTCATTGTGAGGATGACTACAAACTGTACAAATCCTACCAGAATTTATATCCAACTCACAAACAGGATTAAAATGTATCACGTCATTTTAATTTTGTAAAAAAAAAACATTTATGAAGCACAATTTTAAAGCAAAAATATTCTACATTGTGACAGGTTCCATTCATTAAGTGACGAAATTAAATCTAAACATGCACCAAAGCACACTATCACAGATTAAGCAATGTTGGACAGTGCTTTGCATTAAACTCACTGCTTTTTACACTTTCAGATAGATGTAATAGACAAATTCACTACATACACGTTGATCCAAATGTTTATTACGATTCACCGCATTGTCAGAAAGGTACAAAAAACACTTAAAACATTATACGTATGCTTTTGTACGAAAGTTACTTGTAATGAAAGCATGTGTGCCACTTTATGCAATCGTTAGTAAGTTGAATGCAGCGTGAAAACTGCTGAGAAATCAAAAACTCTGGGGCAGCAGGCAGTCTGTCTCTCGAACCGCCCCCAGCACTGAACTCTCGCACCCAGCACAGACGTTGCAATGTCACTCCCCCTTGTGACTGCGCTTGCTCTTTCTCTTGGACCTGCAGCGCCACACACACACACAACGCACATCACTGTAGCAAAACGGCTGGTGAAAGTACTTTGACGTTTAATTTGCAGACTTGACGGTGTCACACGGCACGTGAGAAAAGGCCTCACCGATCTGGTGAGCGCGAGTGGCTACGGTGGCGGTGGCTGCGATGTTGACCTGGCATAGGAACAATGGAACAAACAATATAAGTGGAGTCATATCAGACCAAAAGTGCAGCGATTCGAATGTGTTTATGGCAACATTATTACATTATTGTAGGTGTTGCTTAATAATAATAAACCTGGCAAAGTGGATCAGCGGTAGACAGAGCGGCTCGCAATCGGAAGGTTGAGTTAAAATGAATACCACTATGTGGGAAAATGAATGGCACATTTTAGATTTGACGTTTTCGTGACTGCAAGGATCCATATTCTTTGGTTCTTTCGGTAAAGTCACGTAGGTGAAAAACACACTACAATAATGTATGCAATTTGTCAATGGAAAAAAAACAAGTAATTACTAGTGTTATTTCTTCCGCTTGTTTACACACAAAAGCCTCACCGAGTCTCAATACAATTTTTCATGAGGGCCCTCTGCTCAGTTTTCACGGTAGGGGGAGCAATCAATCTCTGGGTTTTTACCAATCGAGAAGTTTGCCTTGTTATTTTAAAATTTAGCAAATTTGGACCGTGACACCGGCACTCTTCTTATAATCATATCCCGGGAACTTTAACGTAACGTAAATTTCAGGGCAACGACATTTCAAAGGCTTCCAAAGGAACCGATATTTACAAGCAACAACTGCCAGACCCACACACACATGCGTGATGTGGCCATTGATCAAAGAGTGTGTGCGCGCGAGGAGTGGTGCGAGTGGGGGCGGACGAACCGGGCGACTTTGATCGGTGACGCCGTTCCCTCTCACGCGATCGGTGCCGCCGGGGGGGGCTCTTGCTGCGGTGCCGTTCACGCCGGGGGGACAAACTGTGGGGACGGCACGGGAACAAATCCGCTTCACCGTCATAGCAACAACAAAACCACGCAGCAGCCTCCTCTCCTGATCCCGTTTCTCACACTCAAGATCAACGTACGTCATCGTGGCCAAAGCTGTTGATGCCACCACACCCCACTGCTACAAATACATCATTGCAGACCCCACGCAGAAGCTCCCTGGCTGCGATCATCCACGAACCAAATGGGCTACAACCCTACCTAATCCGCACAAACCATGGCAGATGCAGATACTTGATGCACACGTGTAAAATGTTAAACTCTCCGGTGTGTGACTATGGTCGCACAGAACAGAACCATGGAACATAGAACTACTCTGGTCGATTCACAAATATGGATGAGGGAGCATCACAGCCATGATACTCTCTGCTACTCCTGCCAATTATCTGGCTTAACCACCTCAATGTAAAATTATAGTTGCTACATCAACATCAACCATACCAAGAAGACCTCATTGCCAATGCTTTCTACCCTCCACCAGATCCCTCACCTGCTGCACAGTAGATATGCAGTGACCTCCACGATAGTAATAATTTGTATAATAATTATTGCATTTAGAATGCACCCATAACGTAACAAAACATCTAAGAAAGCAGTGTTTTAGCCTCGGGAACCAGCTAATGGCAGCATGTTCCTGTGCAGCACAAAGTGACTCGGCAAGTAACCTGAAAGCGGGATTCAGCCTGCCAGTAGGGGGCCATGATTTCCGTGTTACCAATTCAGTAATCTCCAGTGTGATTGTCCAATTTGTAAAATTTCAACCGTTACGGCGGCACACAATGGTCTTAAAGATCTACTGTGCATACGACGCGAAATATTTTTACGGTTAAAGCACACTGCAGTATTAACCTGGGCAGTTTAACACGTAGGCTTTCGCGACCAATATTATTCATAATAAAGGGTTTTTTTTGGGTTAGATCGCGTTATTTATAAATGTGTCGTAACCCTCCACCACCCGACACGGCCAATCAGCAAAAAAGTGTCACGTTGACAAAAGACAAAGAGTTCACTACTTTAGCCCACCGGTGTGTTGAAGAGTGAATCCACAAAATTTACATTTTGAGTACGATGTTTCGCTGGTAATTACATCCAGCATCATCGGGCAATTCGCCAGAATGGTGAAGCCCTCGCTTGCTCCCAGTCTTAAATAGAGCAGCAGGGTGACGTCACCATTTAACTCATTTAAGGTGCAGTCATTTGATTGGTAATCAGTCAATGGTTATGATTAGTAATGAGTTGTAGATTAGTAATTAGTTGTAATGTGTGTTGTGATTATATGCTACGTTAGTAATCCGTTAATTAGTATGTGTTTCCCCTATAAGGAATTGTAATATGTATTATTTAATAATACGCTTCCAAGCCGCACTAAGCCTGTAGCTGTCAGAGCGATTAAAGTTATTTCTATTCCTCTCAATTTAAATGGATTCTCTAATTAGTCTTTGCCAGTAATAATTAGTTTTACACAACACTTCAACGTTATCAAAATCAATTGAGTGCCCTTGTTGACAAGCATGTTCTGCCACTGCCGACAGTTGTATTTGAGATAATTTAATATTTCTTTGATGTTCTTTTAGTCTTATGCTGATGTTACGTCCCGTCTGTCCAATGTAGCATTTGCCACATAAACAATTAATCCGATATACACCTTCTGTTGATAATTTAGGTAATGCGTCTTTAGTGCAAGATACTAGTTTTTGAATTTTGTGTACTGTACCAAATCTTACTGTAATGTTTTGCTTTTGCAAAACACGGGCTAATTTGTCAGTTACTCCTGAGATATATGGAATTTTAATTGTTTTAACAATCTGATCGCTTTCAGCAGTATTGCTTTGCGATCTTGACTTGGCATTCATTGCTCTGTAAATTTGAGCATTATTGTAGCCATTCTGTCATAGTGCTTCTTTAACGCGTTTGATCTCTCTCACTAGACTTTCTAATTAATAATCTACAACTCATTACTAATCATAACCATTGACTGATTACCAATCGATTATATAATTACAATACCCCCCCCCCCCCCCCGCCTCAAATCACTGCACCTGAAATGAGTTAAATGATGACGTCACCCTGCTGCTCTATTTAAGACCAGGAGCAAGCGAGGGCTTCACCGTTCTGGCGAATTGCCCGATGATGCTGGATGTAATTACCAGCGAAACGTTGTACTCAAACTGTAAATGTTGTGGATTCACTCTTCAACACACCAGTGGGCTAAAGTAGTCAACTATTTGTCTTTTGTCAACGTGACACTTTTTTGCTGATTGGCCGTGTCGGGTGGTGGAGGGTTACGACACATTTATAAATAACGCGATCTAACCCAAAAAAAAAACCTTTATTAACCTGGGCAGTCTGCCAGATTTGAACAGCATTATCTCTGCAACAAGCGCTGAATGCGCTCCCGCTGGATCACCGTCCCAGATCTGCTCTAACAGTCTCTCCCACCATCTGACCTTAGGTCTTCTCTCTCCCTTGGTTACCGGACTCGTGGAGACCGCTCTACTGCCTGTCTCTGGGAATCGGGCCTCCACATGCTACCTCTCGCGCTACACGCAGCCAATGAGGCCACAGGAGGCAGATACATCACCCAGCAGCAGCCCAGACAGAGACGTACCTTCTCCTCTTTGGTGATCTGCTCCGTCTGAAATAAAACAAAAATACACATCGTACTGTGTAAGCACTCATGCAAATGCAATTCCACACAATCCCAACATTTGCTCTGCTGAGCAACAAGCCACGAATGCACCACATATAGATATTTCATGAATCGATACACAAAGGACACACAGCCATAGTTCTGAGCTCTCACCAGTATTCTTGAAGAACAGAAATTGAGGTTACAGTTCCTGCTGTAACATACTACCTTCTATGATTCAGAGACATCATGGTCATTGACGAAAGATATATAAAAAATATAGCATGTAGAGATGCGTGCTTGAAATAACATTCAATTGACACACACAGCAAACATGTAATGGCATGTATACACCCACACCCAACACACAAGACACCCACACATACCCTAACTACAGACACGCATACACGTGTAGTGTAATAGCACCGGCTGGTGGCTAGCGGCGGAAACTGTAGTGGACAGACAGTACATACACCGATGAGCGTGTACATGGCTGTGTTGGCAAGGCGCAGGAACTGGGGCAAGGGTCACAGAGGACCCCATCTGGAAGCCCCTGGAACCCGCTAGTGGGTTCAAGAGCATAAAAGGAGCCGAGAGCGGAAGCTCGAGGCTGCCAGTTCTGGGATTAGATTTGTCTCGTCGGTGCTGTCGTCTCGTCGCTGCCATCTTTGCTTGAATTGCGCTGCCAGATAGTTGTTGGCTGTCT